TCATCGCCCTTAATACCATGCACCCTAGGCACTGGATCCTCCCTCCACTCCCTCTCACCCTACATTATTACATCCACTTTCCCATTCACTGTGACTAGATTAAACCCAAAGGCTTCAGGTTTATATTAATAAAAAACTTATTAACTGGAACTTTTTCAATGTGAAATTAAATGTTTTAGGCGGTATGGATCAAAATTTCAATTAATTTTTCCATAGTTAATAACCTTTGTTTATTGTCAGGAAATTATTCTAGAGGTTAAAAATTATATATGCATTCTGTCTATCATTGAGCAAAACAATATATATCTAAAACTCAGGTAACAAACAAAACTATTCATCTAGACAAAATAATCATCAACTGGTATGATTAGCAATACAATAGGTTCTTAGAAATATTTATAGTTTATTCTTCGGCAAATAGAGACACTACCACCAGGGACTAAAATTGTGCAGTACATAATGTGAAATACCGCATGTATCTGGCTAGGGGTTATATTCATTTTTAAAAACACATTGACTGTCAACAATTCAATAGTAGCTCAGTTAGCATAATCAAACAGAGCTTCTGCTAATCATTTATCTAAAATAAAGTTTTTAAAAGTTCTAAAATTGTTGTGATGATTGCACAATTTCTAAAAATATGATTAAACCATTCAACTGTATGAGGTGTAAATTAAATGTTAATAAAACTGTTAAAAAATCAAGTCTTAAGTTCTATCTCAAATCCTTTTTGACATATAAAGGGACAAATTAATTCACTTGCAAAATACTTACCAGGGTTGCTATCATTGGTACTCAGTACAGAGTCTGTGTCATTAATGTGATTTATAAAATCTAAAAAGGAAAAAGATATCATTTAAAGTATCTTCATCTATAAAAATAGTTAAAGCTTTATTGAGTGGTGATGTTGTAAAATACATTGTAAAAGTACATTAAGACCATTCCATTGTTGACCTAGTTTTGTCTTCTTCAAATTTCCCTATTTTTAGGAATTCATGTCATAGCTTCATGGCTGCAATATAGAACATTTTTACTTGATTGAGAAGTTTTAAAAAAATCTACCCACAAAGGCTGACAATGTTGATAAAACATCCTGTTCCCTGGTGGTGTGGTGGTTAAGCACTAGGTTGCCAACCACATGGTCAGTGGTTCAAGCCCATCAGCCAGCCACTCCCTATGAAAAAGATGTGGCAATCTACCACCCTGGAAACCCTGTGGGGCAGTTCTACTTGCCCTATAGGATCAGTGTGACTCAGAATGGACTCATCGGCAGTGAGCTTAGTTTTTTAAAAACATTTTATACAATGTATTTCCTATATTCACTCACATATAAGCATAATTATATTTTAAATAAAGCTAGAAAGTCTGAAAAAAGGGGAAAGCCAACATTTACCTACATTTCAATTTAGCTGGGAGAACCCCCACCCCCAAAATACAGCACATGATGTTACAGTCCAAAGCTGTATAGTAATGTTATGTTCACAGAACCACGGAGAATAAAGAAGCAGAGAAAAAAACGTATATGCAGATACCCAGGCTTCATGTCATTCTACAGTGAGTAAGGGAATGGTAGGGAATATATTTTCAGCCTAGTCTGAGGGTTTTTACTTAATTCTGATGTTAACTTTGTATAACCACCTAATATTGAAACATTTATAAAACATTTCAGTGATGTGAAGTTGAAATGAGATGGTAAAAGATGCTGGATTAGGTTCTAAGGGCATGAAGTAAGTAAAATACGTAAAGCATTTACCTTCACTAAGAAGAAAAAGGTCAGTTTAGTGTGTGAAGTTTTTATAGGGTTATTAATGATTTAAGATAAAAAATTACACATCTTTTTGTAATTCCTTGATTTAAAAGAATACATGAGTTTAATAACACCTTATAACAATTGAAACCTCATTCCAACTCAGACCCTCAGAATTAGACACCTTTAGAAATAGGATCTTTACAGATGAAATCAAGTTAAAATGAAGTCACACGAAACACAGTATTGTTCTATAAAAGGTGGGAAATTTGGACACAGACACATGTGAAGGTGGCCATGGAAAGATGGAGGAAAAACTAGATACAGTTGTGAGACAAGAAAGGTCAATGATTGCTGGTAACTACCTAGGATGAGGCAAGGGAGCTATGTACACAATTTCCTGTCAACTCGATAATAAGAATGAAGGGGTGGAGTATAGCCTGTCAATCAGGTCACAGCCTGGTGATTCCTTCCTTGTGGTGTGGCCTTCTCATGAGGATGCTGGAACTTCATCTCTTCCTCCCCAGAGGTGAGACACACTCTCTTTCTGCTAGACCCTCCTGTTGAAGGGCCACATGGAGCCATGGTGAATGCAGTCAGTCCTAGAAATGCATCCCCTACCATGGGATCCACAGGACTTTCCACCCACCAGCCAGTGATCTTCCTGCACTCAGCATCATTGCATGTGCTGCGTGAGTCTCAAGAGGAATTCATGGGCTAATATTGGACTTACGGCTAATATTGAATTTATGTACTTGATATGGACTGGGCTGGGATGTGTTCTTAATGCATAATTACTTCTTGATATAAATTTCTCTCTTACACACATCTATGAGTATCTCCATATTTGTTTCTCTAGTCAACCCGGACTAACACAGAAGGATTCTTCCCTAGAGTGTACAGAGGGAGCATGGTCAGGCCGACACCTAACATCAGTCTTCTGTTGCTCTAAGCCACCCAGTTAGGGTCATTTATCAGGGCAGCCTTAGGAGAACAATACACCAAGACTCCACAAGGAAATCATGAAAAATAACAATATCTCTTACTAACAGGCATGAAAATTCTAGATTCTAAGTCTAAGTCTATCACTGCTAAAAGCAAACTTAATCTAGAAAGAATAAACAAATACAAAACACATGACTAATTTAAATTTATCCCAGAACTTAAGAATGGTTCAAAAGGTTAGAAAATGTGTTCATTTAATTTTCCCTGCTAGCAATTTAAAAGAGAAAAACTTTGTGGTCTTCTCAAGAGATGTATCTAATAAAATTCAGCACACATTAATAAAAGTGCTTAAGAAAACAATAATAGGTGGGAACTTCTTTGCAAATATCTTTAGATCTTACAGCCAATAAACCATAACAAACACAATATTTAATGGTGAAATACTACAAATGTAAAGATGCCCACTATCACTGTTTCTGTGCAATGTCACACTTAAAGACTTATACATATGTGCTCACCCACACACACATATATACACATATACATGTGTCTGTGTGTAATTACACATATATAAACTATATGCATGTATATCAATATAAATGCGCACACACTTCTATCTATCATAGAAACTCGACGAAGAGTTTTGATTAGAGACAGACATGTCTAAACACATAATTGAAACTATGTTCACAGGATGAAGGAGCCGGGTGGCGTAGTGGGTTATGGGCTGGGTTACTAACTGCAAGCTCAGCAGGAAGAAACCATAGCTGCTACTTGGGGGATAGATGAGACTTTCTACTTCCCTACAGGTTTACAATCTCAGAAACCCACAGGGTCAGTTCGACTCTGGTCTAGAGGGTCACTGAGAGATGGAAGCAACTCGATGGCAGTGGTCCCTTTTTCCTTTTAGCCTAGGAAGAAGCCTTCCATATTCAGAGATGGTGTAACTAAACAAACAAACAAAAATCCAACATGAAGCTGCAACGTCATTAGAATGGCTAAGAGTTTAGTCAGCAAGTTTGTTAGATTTAAGATAAACATTTATAATTTACTTAGGTTCCTTCATAAAGTAACAACTAATTTTAATATGTAAAAAAATATATCATCATTTTCCAAGGATATGGAAAATTGGTCTTTCATGAAGGGTTCTGGGCTACATGAATATTCATTTTCAAAATTTTATGGCTAAGCTTTATAGACTTAACACAATCTTTATCAAAATTTCAACAGTCTTATTTGCATGAATGGAAAACCAATCCTCAAATTTATAGGGAATTGCAAAGGCCTCAAATTGCCAAAGCAATCTTGAAGAACTACAAAACTGGAAGACTCATGCGTCCCAGTTTCAAACCTTACAAAAGATATGGCAATTTTTAAAATTAGCCATGTGCCATAATAGGAACATACTCCAATACGATAGAATTGAGAGTCTACAAATAAATCTAAATCAGTTATAGCCAAATGATTTTCAATGACAAAGCTTGAAGGGAAATTAGCTGTTTATGTTAAAACTTATTCTGAAATTTGATTTTTATGTAAATAATAGATTTTACATATATACAGTTTATTTAAGGCATCTAAATATACACTAAAATATAGTTCTAGACATCCAGGGGAACATTAGAATCTTACTTAATATCATATGAACTTTCTCTATTCTACTAAAAAATAATATAAAATGGACTTCGGCTTAGTCCACTTGAACAGAATGCTATCCTGTGTTATGTACATAATTTATTTACCATACAACTTCCATTATTTTACTGCTTCCTAATTTTAGATTCTAGTACTGTACTCTGAAAATAAAATTCACTGCCAGTAAGCTGAATCCAAATCATAATGACCTTACAGGATAGAGTAGAATTATTCCCTAAAATTTCTGAGGCTATAAATCTTTATGGGAGGAGACAGTCTCACTTTTCTCCAACCAAGCCACGGGTAGACTGAGCTGCTGACCTTGAGGCTGTTCCAAAAACAAGGACTGAAATCTGCTCCTCCTAAAGTATGCACACCAAATTCTTTAACAACAAGCCCCAAAGAGTTTTCTAAATGTTTTTGTTAGACTAAAAGTTTGTGGTAAAGACTGCAAATGTCATTTGGGAACTAGAAATACTTTATGTCAACTAGAGATTTTATTTACTATATATCTTATGTCATCTAGAGATGAAAAGTATGTTATTTACTCTAAAATAAACTTTTGTAAATGAACATACACATTATATGTGAGATAAGAACCACAGGAGATAAGTTACATCAAATACATTTTTTTTCAGAATTACAAAGATTATTTTTACTTTATCTATCCCAAGACTTTGAATTTAAAACTGGAATTAAAATACTACAGTAGGGATAATATTTGAAAGTAACTGGGCTAACAAGTGATGCGATTACTTACTAAAAATAAACTCTCCAGTATTAAAAAGGAAATTAGACATGAGCACCCAGTAAACGATCATGGCTCCAATGAGAGACACCAAGGAGAAAAGAAGACTTGACCATTGCCCAAAAGAGCCAAAATAGTATCTGCAGACATCTGGGTATTCCCAGACAGTGGTGTCCAATGAAGCTAGAACAAAACAGGCAAGAAGAAATAAAATTAGATGTTGACCATCTGCTTCACAGTCATCATTTGTACTCTTCAAATTCAATCAAAATATTAGCGATCATAGCCATTCCACCATTAGATGGCATTAGCTCTAGAATGCACTATCAAATATTAGCAATGAACACATTATAGAATGAACACATAAGAGGAAATCAAAGAAATCGGTCAGATCGTCTGAAATAGGATTGTAGTATGATAAAGTTTATTCATTAATACAAGTAAAGGCCAAAACAAGACCAGACAAATGGATTAGTAGGGCATAAAATAGTGAGAAAGGGCAGAAAATAGTGAGAAAAAGTTTTCTCACAATTCGGTTTCATACCACATGGCAATTTAAGTTCTAGATATTTGGGTTAACAATGAGAAAAATTCAGTCATAGGAAAGACAAAAAACAATGTCGAAATGGATTCTAAAAGGGTATTCTTTTCAATCAACTAAATATTAAGTTGAAAAATAGGTAGATGTAAATAAGCTTTTTAAATGGTGAGTGGGAAAGAAATTGACAAGAAATAAAAGGCTCATGCTGACACCATATAAAAAGCCTACCAGATCCACAAGAACACGAAGGGGCATGGGAACAAATGGGAACAAAATCTGAATAAATAATACAATTAAGAGAAAGTATACATAACAAATAGATAATTATGAAAAAGGTTGAACAGTAACATGGGTATCTTAAAAGGTGCTACTTTTCAGGCATTAAATGAAAAGGGGAACCACACAAAATAACGGCAGGATTTGGTGAAACCCGATCTAATTTTTGCATAACTGTCAATTAGCACAATTCTTTTAAAAAGAAATTGAACAATTTTTCTTACTCCTTATTTGAAGAAATCTAGTCAAAGAAAGCAATTCAAAAGAATAGAGGTATGTATAAAATATTTTTAGAGGAGTTATTTACAAATGTAAAAAAGGGTAATGTTTAAACAAATATAATTGAGCCAAAGTGCACATGTGTATAAAATCATTGGGATGAACAATATTGACTATAAGAATATAGAGTTTACTGTAACCGATAAAGTAAAAATCAAAAGTGGAACACAGTAAGGTAATTCTATGATTCAATATGGAATTTATATAAAACCACAAACAAAAATATTGCCGCAGAGGGCATATACAGCATATATATTTTAATGTTCACTAACGGGTAAGAAAATACACACTTTTAACTATAAACTATTGTTTTACTTGTCATCAAAGGATAATCTCACGGCGTTTGTTCTTCCATGGCGTCCCTGGGTAGCACAGTTAAGAGCCTGGCTGCTAAGCAAAGACTGGATACTCAAGTCCATCTAAGACACCGTGGAAGAAAGGCCTGGCAACCTACTTTTGAAAAGTCAGCCATTGAAAACCCTACGCGGCACAGTTCTAGACTGACGCACATGGGCCGTGATGATTTGGAGTAAAGTTGATGGCAAATGGTGGGTTTTAGCTGTTGTTTTACAACTCTGTTCTTTGAACACTTCTGAGCTAATTGTTATGCGTGATGAAACTATGAAACTCGTGTTCTGTCACTTTTGAGCCAAGTGAGGTTATTATTACGTGACAGAAAGTGGTGAAGCCTGAAAACTGAAAACAATAGAACATGATAAAGAAGCTAAGTGTGATGCCAATATCAAGAATAATCATTCAAAAAATTCTAGCTTCATCTTTGGGGAAAGGCGAAAATAAATATATAAACAACAATGAAGCATCTGTATACTGCCTAAATATTGGCCCAAGTAAGTATTATTGCAGCACTATCATATTTAATTCTTCTAATCTTAACAAATACTGGGGCTCTGGTGGTGTGGTTGTTGTGGGTTGGGTTGCAATTCAAATTCAGTAGTTCGAATCCACCAGCTGTCCCATGGGAGAAAGACGGGGCTTTCTACTCCCGTGAAGAGTGACAGTCTCAGAAACCCACCAAGCCAGTTCTACCCTGTTCAATAGGGCCCTATGATCAGCCATTGACTTGATGGCAGTGAGTTTGGTTTGGGTTATCAAGGGTCAAAAGCAGCAATCAAAAAATGGGAGACTATTTTATTTCAATGAATTTGTTGTTAGCCTATTAGCAGCTAACAAATGCTGGGCTCTGGTGAACAGGGAGAATGGATCCACAGAGTATAAAAAAGGTGCTCAATGAATGTTGGATTGTAATGATGTCTAGAAATTACATATGCAAACCCACTAATATTTTGATCAAAGGGTTTCATATATTTAAGAAAGGTCTTTCATGATTTGGCTTTACCACAAATTCGTTTGAATACTGACCCTACAATGGAAGCACACAGTTTTGTTTTTTCCCAAAAGTCCTCCTGGTTAATTCACTATTTGTCAGGATGATTTCTGATGATGATACAAATCTGATATATTGTTTTCTTCAAAGCTTACAGATTTTATGTATTGGTTCAAAACATCTCCTCGGAGTTGTACGAGCCCCCAATAAAATGATTTAAAAAAACAGAAAAAACATCTCTTCTGAAGTTTTCTTCTAAGATTTTTATTGTTTTTATTTCTTGGAAAAAACCCATTTGTCTTTAACTCATCACAACAATGTGTATAAGATGTCAGATGCCATTGTGTTTAGGGGCTGTTGAGTTGATTCTGACTTATGACAACCTCGTGTGCAGATTAGAACTTAACTCTGCAAGGTTACTAAGGTTGTATCCTTTTAGAAGCAGATTGCCAGGCTTTACTTCCAAAGCATGTCTGAAGGCCTTGAACCACCAACCTTTTGGTTAATAATGCAGTGCTTAATCATTTGTGCCATCCAGGGACTCAAAGGGTAAAAACAGAAGCTCCCCTTTCCAGTTTGAAACTAAAACAAATCTCCTCTCAAACCTTTCCCCAGTGATTGAGACAAGATTAGGTTAACATAGAGACTGCTTAGGAAAGGCAGGAAAAACAAACAAATAATTACAGAGAAAATGTGGTATGTTGACTTATACTTGCTAAGATTCAAGGAAATATGTCTGTCTAGCACCCGGTGGTATAGTAGCTCTGCCTTGGGCTGTGATCCACCTGGTCGGCAGTTCACCAGCAGCTCCACTGGAGAAAGACTGGGCTTTCTACTCTCTGAAACAGTTTTTGTCTCAGAAACCCACAGAGGGTCGCTATGAGTCAACCTGGATCTGATGGCAGTGAGAGTTTATCTAGCACCTTTATCTAGCACCTAAACTGCTTAACAAGCAACCTGAAAAATATATTTTGCTGATCTAAAAGTTAGAGATGAGTGAAGGTATATGTTGGTACAATAGGTCTTTTGGACTGTATAGGTCAAAATGTGTCATGCCTACGTACTAAGAACCATAGAACTCTCCATTTAGTTTTGATACAGGTTGTATTCTCATTTCCCACCCTGACCTTATTAAAGGTAAGCCACTCAGGTATCAACAGTAGAAGGAACCCTCTTGGCACAAACTAAACATTTTCACACATGTATGGAACATACACATTCGTGGTCTACTTTTATGGGAAATACCACTAATACCCACATCACTCATCTATTTTTATTGTATAAAATTCTTACATATCGGGAGGAGGGAAAAAAGAGGAGTTGATACCAAGGGCTCAATAGAAAGTAAATGTCTGGAAAAGAATGATGGCAACATATGTACAAACATGCTTGATACAATTGATGTATGTATTGTTGTAAGAACTGTAAGAACCCCCAATAAAGTGATCTTTTAATAATAATGAAAAAAATTCTTACGTATCATAGAGCGTGATTTCACTACTCTGTAGCAGCAATAAAGGGTTAAGATGCCCATCAGCATGATGACACACATTCCGGTAGTAAATCCAGCCTGGATAGATATAAAAATACAGAGCAATATGTAGACTCATGTCAGAATAAACTCATCTGTTATTTAATCCTAAGGAACCATAATAAAACCTGGGAACTAATGAAACATAATAATCTATTTTTTTAAGGATTGATGCATTTGAATTAAGGCACTGACAAAGAATATTAAATATACAATGGAATGGCAGAAGAACAAACAGATCTGGGTGGGAAATCAAAAATAAACAAGTCCATTTAAAAGGATTTGAATAGGCATTTCTTCAGAAGATCTATACCAAACTTATTTGGTTTGGTTCCCAAACTTATTTGGCCTATCTTCTCTTTTCAGGAAAAACATTACTCTGTGTTCCCTTGGCAATTAAAAACTTTTGTACAATAGCTCATAATTGAGGTTAAAGTATAGGTATCTGCCTTTGCAGCTTTCTGAATTGTTTCAATTCCCCCAGCGGGCAGTATCACCCACTTTGAGAAACACTTATGTATATACATGGTCAATAAACACATAAAGAACAGCCAGAATGCTCCTTAGAAGTGAACCTAGCCAGATTTTAACAGATTTGGGGCATGTTATCAGAAGAGAATAAGTCCCTTGGGAAGAGTATCATGTTTGGTTAAGATAGAGGATAGCTATTAGATCAATTTTGTTAACCACATGTTCAAATCTTGTCTTCACTGATATTTATAATAAACAAATTTTAGTTTTATAAGTATTAGATTTACAGAATCATTGGGAAGATAATACAATCATCTACTTCCTTTGAAAACTTTAAGAAATAAGACTTATTGAAACCTCTATTGTCCAACTTATAAGGAGAAATAAACTTTCAGGTACATATTGTGCTAAAAAATTATATTACCTGTTTTATGCCCCAAGGAATACTTAGTATAGATGTTCCCATCATGGTATTCCAAATCATAAAACTGAAAGCACAAAGTAGCAGCAGTAAAAGGTGGGGGGTTGGACTCTTTAGACATTACAATTTAAACAAAAATAATCAGTAATTTTCATTCACATATAGTTTGTATGTTCCAAAAAAGTAGTTTTACTCACATGGTTACTAAACTGGTGTTTTTACCATATCCTTCAGAGTACCTTTCTAGTTTATAAGCAGAACCCAGTGGACTGTACACATAGCACTCCTCTGGAGCTGGAACGACATGATCTGGGGCAATCTGGGGAGAAGAAAAGTCAAGAAATGTGCTGCAATGGGAGAACTAGTAACGTGCAAAATCTACTCTTCTCTCTACGGCTGAGCACCTGGCATGGCACATTTCAAATGTCATGAAAAAAAAAAAAAAGCATGCAGTACTGATTACCATAAAAAATTTCTAGTGAACTAGAAGATCTGAATTTAAGGACTTGAATATTCAAGAGTCAAAATATTTTTCCTAGAAGAGCCAGCACAACTGAGATTAATAATGAATAAGGAAGTCTTGGGCTGCTTAAGTGAGGGGAATGTCAAGAACCAGGTCATTGCACCCTTACAAGATAGTGAGTTTAGCAAAGTGGTAGGTTGAAAAACTCGGGATATATAGAATTAAGGAGTTAACAGAGAAGAAACAACATCATATACAAACTATTCTTTTAAATATTTTGGTTGCAGAGGAAAAATGAGCTAAAGCAATGCTGAAGGAAACAGAAAAGTATATACCTCTGTTCCCTGGAGGTTGTCCCACCCCCCTCCCCCATCACGACTTCAATGCCGCCTCCCAATCTAGACTAGACAGGAGCAGGTACACAGGTACAGGCAGGAGAGAAAACTCACAACCCATGGAACCCAGGAACAGGAGAGGGAATAGAGACACCAAAAGGGTCGGGGATAACTGAGGAGGGAGAGGGGCACCGAACACAATGAATAGCACATCACCACACACCCCAGTCAGGGGGAAGAACAACAGAAACCGGAGGGGAAGGGAGACGGCAGTCGGAGTGCGATTTGAAAATAATTAACAATCTACACTCTATCAAGGGGGCCATGTGGGTTGGGGGTGTCAGGGAAAAAAGGAGGAGCTGATCCCAAGGGCTCAATGGAAAGTAAATGTCTAGAAAAGAATGATGGAATACATGTACAGATATGTTGGATACAATTGATGTATGGTTTGTAACAGGAGTTGTAAGAGCTCCCAATAACATGGGGGGGGGGGGAGAAAACAGAAAAGCAAAAGCAAGGATTTTTAAAGGAAGAGATTCAAGCATGCATACTAAAAACAAAACAACAAACTCAACATGAAAGCAGCTAAGTGAGAGAAGGTGAAAACTATGAGGGAACTGAATAGAAACAGTGCTTATGTAGTTCACTCTATATTCTGTTCTAGTCCTAGACATCCCATTTTGAAGAGAGAAAACTAGTTTCCTGATAATAAGTTTGCTCACCTCCCTGAGCATATCCCTTGAGAATACAGAGTTCTGACGTGCAGTTGCTAAAGGCATAGGAATTACCTTAAACACTTTTATTTAGCACCTTGAGCCAGCTGAAGGACACAGAGCAAGCAAAAAGCTAGAGAGCTTTGCCAGAATGCCCACCTATACTTGACACAGGCCACACCCCTGAGGAAACTCCCCTTTCACTCACTGACAGACCTCATCATAAAAGTAACTCCATTAAGTCAGAGCTCATCATGGGGGATGACTGTGAGAATCATGATTCAGCCAGGTTGAGGTACAATATGAACTGTCATGCACCTGCTATGTAAATCTATGCCTCTGTAGATCAAGTGAGATGAAGACTGGGCTTTCTACTCCCGTAAACAGTTAAAGTCTTGGGAACCCACAGGGGTTCGCTCTGAGTCAACACTGACTCAATGGCAGTGAGTTTGGTAGGTCAAGTGTCCAAGAGAAAAAATATAACACACAACCTCTTTCTTCCAGAAGTGCAATTCCACCAGGAACAGATATGAAGTCATTCAAAAGGAGAGCCCCTGGGCAGCACAAACGGTTACGGTGCTTTGCTGCGAACTGAAAGGTTGGAGGTTATAGACTCCAACCCCAGGTTTCTTGGAGGAAAACCTTGGTGAGCTACTTCAGAAAGACCAACCACTGAGTGCTATGGGGCCCAGTTTTACTCTAATACTATGGGATAACCATGAGTCAGAAAGGACTCGACTGGCAAGTGGCTACTAGTTACCAAATAGAATAAGAAGTTGGTATTAAACTCTGTGGTGAACTGCATCATAATGATTTTTTAAATTCATGGAAGGCCAAGAATAGGTGGGAGAAATTTCAAGAAAAAGTTGGAACTTTAGGCTTCAGCAGGGAGACAGGAGATGGATTGGTACCCAAATGTGTCAAGTCTTTCACTCGGATATGTATGACTGACTATGGTGTTTTCTGGACAAACGTCTTGAATGCCAGGCAGCGGGTGGCTCTGGAAACAATTACTTCCTAGAGATACAGAAGCATTGATGGAAATTGAGGCTGTTGCTTCTCTTTGCACACATTCCTTTTGGGTCTGAGTTCTGCTGACACGGAGTGAAAAGACAAAAGGCGAGGACCAAGTTTGTCGCAAGCAGGAGCGAAATCACCACAGCTAGCTAAGCAAGTTGAGAAAGAAAAGGGGGAGGGGGAAAGCTTTGAGGGGCACGATCAGAAGCTGAAAGATAAGTGGCAAACTCACAGGTAACACAGAAAAATGAGAGGGTTGGATCCCATTGGCAGAAGTCTAGGGCTCTCACTTGCTGCCATCGAGCCGGTGCTAACTCACAGTGACCCTACGGACAGGGTTGAACTGCCCTTGTGAGCTTCCCAGACTGTTAACTCTTTACAGGAGTAGAGAGCCCAGTCTTTTGCCCATAGTGGAGGGCAGTACCTTTGACATTCTGAAGTTCAGATGATTTGGAGAGGAATCTTGCCACAAGTACAAATTCTGATTTAGTAAGCCTGGAAAGAGCACTTGGATCCTTCACATTTAACAACTGCCCAGTGAAATGATACCACCGATTATGCTTTTAGTAGCAAGGGATGTAGGAGACACTGGCAGTCAAGTAATTTTCATCCCCTTCCCATTTTAGAATTAAAAAAAAAAAATCAAACTAAAAGATTTTTTTTTTTCATAAATAAAATCTAAAGAGAGAGCTTTCTACTGCCATAAATATGGGAAACCCCACAAGGGCAGTTCTACTCTGTCCTGCAGGGTCACCTTTGAGTCAGAAATGACTGACTGGTAGTCAGAGTGAGAATAACTCTACAAAGACCTTACACGTGTTTCTTCATACTGTTCTTCTCTTATGAATCTTTTTAGGAAAAATAATTTTAGGAGCCTCAGAAAAGGGGTGTGAATATATATAAACATTCATTAAAAATGGTTGTATCACATTATTAATTTTGGATCACTTTAGTGTCAGTTAATAAAAGGGATTCAGCTTGGTACACAATGGTGATTTAACTTCTAGGGTAACAATGTACATTCAGGCCTAGACTAGTCTAGCCGGTACCTGATACTTGATACTTGTTTTTAAGAGTAGAGTCACAAGGTCTGACGATACTAGATTATTTCAAGGTCCAGATTAGTTTATTATGGAACTAAGTCTTTTGATATAATGAATGGAAAAACACAAAAACTCAGGGGCAATTACCCCATCAGAGTATTTTAGAAGTCCTTGTGTTGGCTAAGGCAAAGAGAATACTTACTTTATATGACTGCTGCAAGAATGCAGTAAGATGTATCTGTTCAAGTCCATTTGTGCTCCATAGGTAAATGTTTAATAATTATTAGTTTGCTTTGTTCTGCTTCTTATTGATATCTATTTTTTTTAATTAGAATTTTGTCTCCTAGAATAATTCTTTTCCCCCTAGAATAATTCTTTAAGTTGCCAAGTTTCTGAATATCTTAAAGATGTTAATTTTTATAGTTAAATTTTATATGCATTTTGACCCTAAAATAATAATGATAATAATACCAAGTTTAGAAGATTGACTGTTAACAGACTGTGGTCCATGAACCAAGTCTGACCTTCAGTTTGTTTTGTTTTTTATTTTAAATTCCCTGAGCTAAGAATGGTTTTATGACAGCTTGTTCTTGTGTCAACTTGGCTGGGTCAGCAACCTCACTGATTTGGCAGTTAAGTGTTCATAAGCTCTCATGATGTTACATAACATAATGTTATCAACTCCTTAGTGGGATTGGCTGTGAGCAGCTGATAAATTGTAAGATTAGGGTGGAGGGCAACCCCCTTATGAAGGTCATAGCCTGGAAGCAATTGAAAGGAAATTTCCTTTCAAAAAGTGGAGAGGGTGGTCTAATTCCTATATAAGTACACTTTGGCGAGCTTGCTTGCTTCTTTCTGCATCTGGACCCTGAATCTGGCTCATCAACATCTGGTTATTTGAATTGGAGCCCATGATCCATCACATGCCTGCCCAAACCTGGGAGCCAACAGCAGCCTGACATCTGACCTGCAGGCCTCAGATTCACGGGACTCAGCAGCCACAAGTCTGACCTAATGACCTTGCATTTATCCACCTCTGCATCCATCTCCTTCTTGTCTTCCTGCTTCATCTTCCTTCTTCCTGATTCCTGTGATCTCTTCTTGCTTTCTGGTTTATCGGCCCCCGCAGCTACTTGAGTCAGGAGAAGCCTCCAGCTTAATGTCTACTCCATGAACTTTAACTAGAACGGACGTTTGTGCGAGTCATTTCCTAATATCGATTTCCCTCTTTTTATGTCTGTGTGTGTGTGTGTGTGTGTGTGTGTGTATGTGTGTCACTGGATTTGCTTCTTTCGAGAACCTAGTTCACACACATTTCTATATTTTTAAATGGTTGTAAAACAAAAACAAATAAGAACATTTGTGGAAGAAGTACACCGGCCTGTGTGATCATGAGGTGTGGACAGGATCAAGTATCAGGCATCAGAAGACCCCAAACATACCAATATATCAATGCAAATGATGGGGTTTGGAGTGGAGACCAAAGCCCATCTAAAGACAATTGGACTTTCCCTCCAAGAAGGGTCACAAGAAGGAGCGAGTCAGCCAGGGTGCAGCATAAAAGCCGTCGGAACAAACAACATTGTTCTAGTTCTTTAATGCTTCTTTCCCCCACTATTATGACCCCAGTGCTACCTTACAAATCGGCAGGACTGGAGCATGTACACTAGTACGGATAAGAGCTCTCGACACACAAAATCCAGGACAGATAAACCCCTCAGGAACAGGAAGTAGTGATCCCACAAGGGTAGGGGGAAGGTGGGAGGAGAAGGGGGTAAAATGGGGAACAGTGATCAACATATAATCCCCACAAACACACCAGGGGGACAAACAATAGAAACATGGGCGAAGGGAGACAGCGGATGGTGTAAGATATGAAAATAATCATAATTTATAATTTATCAGGGATCCACGAAGGTGGGAGGGTGGGGGAGAGAAAAATGAGGAGCTGATACCAAGGGCTCAAGCAGAAAAAAAATGTTCTGAAAATGAAGATGGCAACATATGTACAAATGTGTTTGATACAATTGATGTATGGATTGTTATAAGAGCTATAAGGGCCCCCAATAAAATGATTTCTTAATAATAACTGTAAAATATCTGTGACAATATATGGCCCACAGAGCCTAAAATGTTTAGTTTCTGGCCCTTTGACTCTTGTGTGTGATATATAAAAGAATATTCTTAGTAGGACAATAGTACATGAATATATGCATATATTCATATGCATATACACACATACTGTATATGCATATGTACATATACTGTATATACATATATACATATACTGTATAAAATTTCTAAAACATTTCCCCCTTTAAAATCAAACTGAAAATGGAACCGACTAATCAGATCTGTGATTGCTTACGTTAGTAACTTATGACCCAAACTGCCACTTCGAAAGTAGTATATCCTCCTTGGTGTTCTTGGAGCCAGGGATTAACAGAATTTAATCCAAGTATCTTTAGGTGGTTGCCAATCTTGGCAGTTACATAATCTGTCAATTTGCAGAGGGGTGGAGTTTAGCCTGTTAATCAGGTCGCAGCTTGAAGACCTCATTTGGAGACACCATGCAGATAAATAGTTCACTGGAGGCCAGACCCACATGCTTCATCTTCCTGCTGACAAGCCACACGGAGCTACGCTGATAGAGCCAGAGCCCGGGAGCCGGAGGAGCTGCGTGAAGACCCACATCAGCGCTGAGATGCTTCCACCACCACTTTCCACCCACTGGTCTGTAATCTTCCTGCATTCGGTGTCATTGCATGGTTGCATGAGTCTATAGAAGAATTTACGGACTAGTATCGACGTATGGGGTAATATCAGACTTATGGACTTGATCTGGATTGGGCTGGGATGTTTTCTTAAAGCACATTGCTCTTTTTTTGTTGTTTGTCTGTTTTTGATTCTTTTTAAAATTGTTTTATTAGGGGCTCATATAACTCTTATCACAATCCATACATACATAAATTGTGTAAAGCACATTTGTACATTGATTGACCTCATCATTCTCAAAACATTTGCTCTCCCCCTAAGCCCCTGGCATCAGCTCCTCATTTTTTACCCTCCTTCCCCGCTCCTCCGCCCTCATGAACCCTTGATAATTCATAAATTATTATTTTGTCATATCTTGCACTGTCCAACATCTTCCTTCACCCACTTTTCTGTTGTCCATCCCCCCGAGGAGGAGGTTATATGTAGATCCTTGTAATTGGTTCCCCTTTCCAACTCACACTCCCTCTACCCTCCCAGTATCGCCACTCACACCACTGGTCCTGAAGGGATCATCCGCCCTGGATTCCCTGTGTTTCCAGTTCCTATGTGTACCAGTGAATGTACATTGCTCTTTGATATAAAGTTCTCTCTTACACACACACGAGTGTCTATGAATTTGTTTCTCTAGTCCACTCGGACTAACACACCAACATAGACTGTTTAAAACATGGCTATGCCAGGCCCCCTAAAAATGAGCTAGCTTAACCTCTAGTGCATGTCTTAATATCTATCTTCAACTTTCCATGATGCTACCTTTGGTATATGGCCATTAAAATGTTGAACCCCTGGGAGTTGCCCTGGCTTATGTGTTTATTATTCATGTCGACTTACTATTAGACAATTAGTAATGCTTGTGCCTTACCAGTGCCTTGTCTGCAGGAGCGGCGAGTCGGCTGTAGTACTGAATCCTTTTGTTCATGGCAGAGGCCTGGTCGCTAACTCTCTGAATGGCATTATTCACATTGACGATGTTTGTGGGTTCTATATAGAAAGGCCTAGAGAAGGGAATATACACTTGACAAAGAACGTTCAGCCAGAAATTCTGGAAGTCAGCCATTGGAGAAAATAGCTTCTTGTCCTCCATTAGAAATAGGATGTAGCAAGGCAAGGAATTCACTTCTCACTTTTGGTGGGAAAGAAAATGCCACAAAGGAAGTATTATCCAATCCACAGAATAAAGCTTTTGTCTCACAATAATTTTACTTTAAATTATGCTTTTTTAATATGAAGGAACTTATTAATAGAGGAGATGTCATAGAAAGAATGCAAACCAGTTATTAAAATGAAATACAGCAGCTGTCAGTTTTAAACAATGAAACTTAAGACAGTTATGAATATTCTTTCAAAACTCTTTTGGCACTAAATCAAAGACATTACCAATAAAAATATTCCTTTAATGAAGAGTCTACTTTTCTCTAGGATGAAGTTACTTCCTATGATAAAAAGCATTCCTAGTTCTTGGTTCGGGTACTAAGGATTCGTGATCTCAATCATGTCCCTTGTGACACTGTTCCAAAGTCGTATCAAATAAGACATCAGGATACTAGAAATAGTCCACCTTATTCTACTTTTCTTAGATTTCAGTTACATACCCAAATAGGTTATTTTTAAATGTGTCCTGGCCAACTTCAGATTCTGGTTTTCAATCATTTTCAATCAACCCCCCACCCCTTCAGTCCTTACTAAGATCCCTCCATTTGGTTTCTAAGCTTCTAGTAATATCTCTCCCAAAATGGAAAGACCAGCCAGAGCTATGGGTAAAAATTGGCACTGCTCTGGCAATTCCCAGAGTTCCAGAAGTCACAAACGACACTATGCCCCACACTATATATAATTTGCCACTTAATATTACACATATATATCTATATTCAAATGTCAAAAGAAAAAACAATACCAAGAGATTTATCATTACATCCACAGAGGACCTCATCTACATTTATCATTCTGAAAGAAACTCAAATTATTATTAATTTGATAATTTACACAGTATGATAATCATTGATGGAGTCAGTGTTAATCTAATTTTGTAAAAAGTACATGAAAAAAACCCCAAGAAAATGATATTTTAATTTTTTTCTATTTTTCCTCCACTAACTCTGTGATAGTAGAGAAATTGCGCTGATATTAAATTCATTCTTTTTGTTCTAGACAGTACATAGGTTCTTTACTCTTTATTTTACTATTTACTTTCCATCATACTATCCCAAGTCTGATGACTTCCATCTAGTTTAACTCAACAAGTATAAAAATAGAGCACTGACCGGTACAAGTATGACATACTAGTTAGACTAAACATGCAATTATTACATTAATTAGATGGTGTCAATCAATCTCAAGGAGAGAGACAGCAATATGTCAGAGTAAAGGAGGGTGATAAGAAATGTCTAATTGTAAATTTGGTAGCCTGAGATATGTCAGTTTTCCGAGCATCCCATGGTACGGAATAAGCATGGCTGCTAACGGGAAGACTGGCGGTTCAAACCCAAGAGTCGTTTAGTAGGAGAAAGAAGCGGCTCTTTCCATAAAAATTTACAGTCCTTCAGGAAAACCAAAGGGGCAGCTGTACTCTGTCCTATGGGGTCAAGCTTCTTAAATTGTGGGTTCCAATCCCAGGTGGGTAAGTGAATGTGGAGGCTGAGGAAAATGTAGCAAGAGTAAAAGGTTTCTAAGCATGCAACTACCAAAAATTGATTCAAAATCAAATACGTAATGAATGTGAGGTGTTTTGGGCAGCGCTTCCCTGTGCTGCCAAGTTTCTCAAGCAAAAAGGATGGAGAGTGGGAAAAGTATAAGAAGCTTGGAATCAACTCAATGGCCGTGGGTATAGGAGTATAATTTATATCTCCACTATGGTACTCAGTGGTACTAAAAAGCCAATGTAAAAATATTGATACCTGAGAGATAGTTTAATCATGTTTAAGATCACTTCAGGGTACTCACTTCTTGCTTTACAAGAATGATGACCCACAAAATTTAAGAAAGAATTACAACTTTAATGCCCCCCAAAACATGGAGCCCTGAGTTATTACGTGAAATTATCAACAAATACAATACTGATTCAGATATAGATATTCTACTTATAGCTTCTTATCCTAAACTTCAATGGCATTACTATAAACCACTCAGTTGGTTGGAAGGCCTGTAGAAAAGCAGTCCAGGAAGTTGCACAAGGTCTCGGTCCCTGCCTCTCTCAGAGGCGTTAACTGTACCAGTTGAGTTGGCTTGGGTACTTTGAAAGCACAATGACTGTGTAAGCTTTTCTTTCCAACTGTTTTCATCGAGATGCTGAGAGCCTGTTCAAACAAATATTGTGGAATCTTTTCAAAACAGATCCTCTTTAAAAGTCACAACTCAGCATATTTTAGTGGAATTATTAGAAACATGTGCTTTAAAAGCTTCATGCAAGAAAACAAAAACATAACACACTTCTAAACTAAGTTTTAGTAGGATTAAACTTTTTTAAAAAAACAAAACAATATTCACCAAAAACAATATTCTGACTAAAACACTTTAGAAACTTGGGCATTTTTCTTTTGAACACAGGTTCACATGACTCCTTCCTGTCAAAGTTTACCTCTCATTTGAAAAGCAGTTCAACTCTGCCATATCACAAATAAATGATGGCATTTTATGCAGGAGAAGTTTTATTTGTCTTGCCTTATAAATGTTTATGATCATGCCGTAGGAAAAAATACCTTTAACACTCAGGGGAAAAAATAAAAGAAAACTTTTTAAAGGGTGAATCAAAATAGGTTCTCTTAATACATTTATAATCAGAGAAAATTTACTTCTATCTAACACCTTTTCCAGGTTCTACTCCTTAAATTCCTCAAAACATTTTTGGCTTGCTAACCTGTCTCCACCCTTCTTCTACTGGCCAGTTATACTTTTTTGAAGTTTAGTAACAATTTCGCGACTACGAGGAAAGCTTCATGCTCAACGTGGTGACCCTGGACGGAAAACTTCACTTATTCACGTCCCTGTGAAAGTAGAGGGGCTCAAACACCTGCCAGGCTGGGCACAGTTAGTTAAAAAACAAAAATGGAATCCGATATTCACAGAATGTAATGCAAATAAACATTCAAAATAAAGAAGAGCCCAAGTCCATTTCTACCTGCTTGGTGAAACACTCCACGCCTGCAAGAAAGCTTGTCAAAAACAGGATTGAAAAGCAGTTCGTAGAGCCACGTGTTTTGGAATTCCATGCTGCTACCAGGGAACTACTGGCAACCCCCAGCTTCCTCTGATGCCTGTACAACATCCTCCTTCACAAAATCCTGCTCAACACTCCAAACTTTACTTACTTGTCCCGAGACTGAGCTTATCTTTCTCTACTTAATTTAATTAAGGTGCATTGGTTATCAATTAAATAAATAAATATTTTTAAGAGCCAACCAAGTACTAACCAAATCAAGCTCACTCACTGTCATTCAGGCAAATTCTTACTTATAGCAGTCCTATAGGACAGAGCAGAATTTCCCCCTTGTGTGTCCAAGTCTATAAAACTCTTTATGCAGGAAGAAAGCCTCATCCTTCTCCCATGGAGCGCTTGGTAAATTTGAACTGCTGACTTTGTGGTTAAGTGACCCACTGCACTAGAGGGGCTTCTTTAATCAAGAACTAAGATTTGCCAAACATTAAACAATAAGTAAGATCTAGACCCTTCAGCATCTTAATTTCCTGAAGGAGAAAGGTAGCTAAATAATTCCGATCCAGAGTTACAAAGAGAAAGGAGAACACACTGCTGTAAAAGTTAGGAGGGTGGTGCAGGCCTGGGCGGTGTTTCATTCTGTTGCAGAGCCGCCTGGATGGCACCTAACAGCATGCATCAACACCGACCCAACGGCAATGAGTTTTTAGCTTGATTCACTGAACTTAAAATTCTAGCCAAATCCTCTACCTATATCACTTCTTATTCCCTCTCTCTATATATTTTATACATTTTCTCCTTAGCATTTATGCTATCTGCATAATATAAACTTTTAATTTATTTTACCTATTGTCACTCACCACTATTTAGAATATAAACTATATAAGGGCAGGGATTACTATCCATTTCTTCTCTACTGTATTCCCTGGTATAGAATAGTCCTATATATTGTAGAGCTCAACTAAATATGGGAG